TGGCTTGCAGCGGCCATTTTGATTTTAGGATCGGGCCTATTTCTACAACCGGGGTAAAAAGAGGTCGCCCTGGACATATGTGCAAAGTTTTGAGTTATTCTGATAAATAGTTTCACAGTTTAAGTTGTTGACAGAATATTACACAATCCAAAATGGTGGCCAAACCATGTGACCAATAGTGCTACAATGAGCTCATGTGGCAACAGAGCAAAGCATAAGCTCACGGAGCAAGATGCACATCTGTAGCTTTAGCGGTTCTGGAGATGCAGGTTTCTGAATAGTTCACAAAAATCGTCTCAAAAACCAAGATGGCTGCCACATCATGTGACCTATGACCTTTATATTATAATAAGCTCTGCAGAGCACAGGGCTGTAGCATTGTGCAAAGTTTCATGAGTTTTTGAGTTACAGAGCACTTATTACAGGCATTTGAAAAAAGTGGCGGAAAAATAATAACAATAATAATAATCTGAACAGATACAATAGGTGTCTAGAAACTTTGTTGCTTGGCCACCTAATAACAATCTGAACAGATACAATAGGTGTCCTTGCAACTTCGTTGCTTGGCCACCTAAAAATCTTACCAATAACAATAGGTGTCCTTGCAACTTCGTTGCTTGGCCACCTAAATATAGCTGCAAGCAGCAATAAAGGTGGCCAAGCAGTAGAGCCAGTTATAGCACATGAGAATATATTGCAGTGACAGAGATAAAAAGCAGGACATGATTGTATGAATTATTTAAAAAAATGAAATTCAAAATGGTCGCCGACATTGGTGACCTTTGGAACCCCATATTGTATTTGGCAGTTATGATGTTGAGTTATCATATGTTTAACAAGTTTCACATACTGTGATAGGGATATAAATGCATGTTTATGCCATTTGATGCAATGTTAAATTTGATTTACTTGTGGCGGCCATATTGATTTTGGGATCGGGCCTAGTTCTACAACCGTGGTAGAAGAGGTAGCCGTGGACATATGTACAAAGTTTTGAGTTATTCTGATAAATGGTTTCAAAGTTTAAGTTGTTTGCAGAATATTGAGCCAGCCAAAATGGCTGCCAAACCCTGTGGTCACATGACTTGTAATAAACATATATGACTCTAGAGCTCAGAACATCTTTATATAGCAATTTGTATATCTGTAGCCTTAGCGGTTATGAAAAAACAATGTTTGAAAATTGTCAAAAATTGGTTTGCTTAAACCAAGATGGCCACCAGAGCATATGACCTATGACCTTTATGTTGCCAAGAATTAAACACAGCGCAGTTCTTTACCATTGTGCCAAATTTCATGAGTTTTTACATAACGACGTGGTTATAATTAGCATTTAAAAAAGATGGCATCAAAATGATAGAAATATTTGTCCAATTGGACACAATCCAATATGGCCGCTGAATCATGTGACCAATTGACTTGTAATCAGTTGTGCATCTAGATCAGGTTAATCGCAAGTTATCGGGGAAGGTATGGAGCATTCGGGCGAGCACGAGTACTCACCCAAATCCTCATTATCGGTATATCCCTACTTTGCACTGCAAACCTTAGTGCAGCACCAATGCATGGCAGATCTAAGACCAGCAACAATGCACGGCAGATCTCAGACCAGCACCAATGCTTGGCAGACCCCAGACCAGCACCAATACAGGCTTTGCACTACAAACCGTAGACCAGCACCAATCCTCACAACACCCTGGACCTAGTAGCATAATCTGGTTTGGGGCTGCCCTAGGCAAGGCAAAACCCGCCCCCCCACTAAATATATCCCGCCCCTTCCTGTTTAATACTTTTTGCGTAACCTGTCAGTCGCTGGATACAGAGCACATGCTGTATCCAGCTTTTGACATGTTCCGCTATTAGCGTTGCAGGAAAGCTGTTGTCTTAGGAGGGCTGCCCAGGATCTGTGGTGGGCTCTGCAGAGTCTCAGGGGGCCTCTGTGGCGAGCTCTGCGAGGTCTATGGTGGGCAGAGCCCACCACAGATCCTGCACAGCCCCCTGAGACCCTGCAGAGCCCCCCACAGATTCTGCACAGCCCCCTGAGACCCTGCAGTCTGCCGGATCTCAGGG